CTGAAGCCATCTTGAAGGTCTCTTGGGCCGTCTTGAAGCCTCTTGGAGGCTCCAGGGAGGGGGTATTCAGAAAGGGGTCCCGGTGGTGGCGAGGTGGCGGGTCCCGTGCGGGGTGGGGACGGTACGCGCCCATGTTTCATCTCTAAACATGAAATGAGATTACATTCTAATCTATTATATTAGCTTGTAATGTTCTGCATTATATACTTTTGTATTACATCATTCACTTGTATCATCTATTCGATTACGTGATAGATTCTACACTATATATAACGTGGTATGCCATACTAAACTACATAAACTTCACTGTGCGATATAACCATATACTAACGTGCACTGTAAGGTAACATGAAATAACAGAAGGTGGTCTACGTTCGGATACTTTCATGCAGTCACATAATGGAGCTTTCGTGCACCACACGATGATGTAGTACACTATCACGTAACACACCAATACATATATGCTAAATAATTCGTATAATCTATGGTATATGTAGGTTAAGCGTACTTGAATCATGTTACGGTGCCGTACAACATAGAGCACGGATGTACGTCACATGGTGGTACATCACAAACTAACACATCATGACACATTACAAACTTATAATATGAAAAGTGACGCACAGCATTCTGACATCATCTCGTCTATTCAAATGCAAATCATCATAAAAAAATACAATAATCCGAAGATGGGAATATACGGAATAACCTATTCCACTGAAAGTATAACATCCGATGGCAGCAACCATATAATGAAACATCGTAGCTGCGAGTCTGTAGTACTAGTAGTGATAATGAGGTGATTCGTAAGGGCAGCGCTAATACAACATATACGATGGTTGATTTTTTACCCGCAAAAGAACTCGACATCATAACCACAACACACGATGCCCGTCCAGCGCCCAGCAAACACCATACAAATCCGCTGACCCTCATGGGGACTATAACCACACCCAACGGAAAGCAGCAATACGAATGGTAAACACCCAAAATATACTATGGTTAATACTGGCAATACGAATACTCATATATCCTGTAGCGCCCCGCAATTGCATATAACAACGAAGAGGCGGGCGCGGGTTGGGTCGCGGGTGGGGCGCGGGGTGGTTCGCGGGTGGGTCGGGTGTGTCGCGGGTGGATCGCGTGTAGGTCGCGGGTGGGTCGCGGGTTGGTTGCGGGCCGAATCGCGACCGGGACGACAACAACAATCATTTTCAAACTGTTCGCTCTTACCTGCTCGCGTGCCGCTCGACACGTATATCCCCAACTCTGATACCCGCCCTTTTCGTCTTCGATTGTGCCCCCCTTTGGGGTATAATTTCCCTGTTTGCCGCGTGTAATTTGCGCAGCCGCTAAAACAAAAAAGGGAAGAAAGTAGGGAAGAGACACGGGGGAAGGATAATAATGGAAAGCGAAAAAGATTTGCAAGAAGAGGGTTCGGAACAGGAACACAAACGGCAAAACCAAACGGGCGGGTCGGGCGGGCGGACCCTACGGGGCAAGTCGGGCGGGCGGGCCCAAACGGCTAGGTCGAGCGGGCGGGTTGCTGAAGTGTCAACCCAACATGAACCACAATGAAATGTCGCGCGACAGCGCGATTCCCAAGTACATCGCGAGGAAATCCAAAACGAAAACGTGATTCTTGAGTACAGGGGGCACGGCGCCGCAATACGTTGCGAGGAAATGCGTTGCGATAGCGCGACTTCTGCATGAATTATGCAGAAATCCCATGCGCGAGCGCGATTTTGAAATACATTGTGAGGAAGTATCAGGCGGGAGCCGTTGTTGAATACTCATGCCCAAAAAACTATTGTTGTTGATATTTGGAAACGGTTTCGCGCGCTCTCGCTTCGACGCCAACTGTGATTCCTCTGAAAACGAGGCTCCCGCTCGAGCGCGGGCTTGATTGTAAATGTGTGCCCCTGGAAGCCCGGCTATTCCCAGAGGCCCTGGCCAGAGAGGCCCCCGAACTCAAGAGTGGCGCTCTCGCTCGACAATTTCTCGTGATTCAGGTAAGTTGGTGGAGGCCCAGACAACGACAAGGGCCCCGTTCGATATTTAATTCAGGAATGGCGCTCTCGCCCGAGAGTTCCTCGCACTTCAGTCCTTGGCCGTCGAGGGAAATATTTTCCCCGAAATGTTGGGGTATACAGAATTCCAGACGCGCGTGCCAGTAAAAACGATCAATCTTAAAATGGCTGTTGTTGTTGAGCCTGAGTTGCTAGACGTATATTATTCTTGGACACCATGAGTGTGCTTTTGCGCTCTCGTCTAGGCGCCAGCTGCATTTCCTTTGAAGACCAAGCTCGCGCTCAAGAGTTTCGCGGGTCCGCCAAAACCGCCCCCCCAACAAAAACGACGCTCTGGCTCGATATTTCCTCTTTTCTCATTCGGGGCCAGGGCTCTTGTTCGGCCCCGAAAGCCGCCTTCCCAACAAAGTCGGCGCTCCCGCTCGATACTTCCCTTCTTTTCACATCAGGACTGGCGCTCCCGCTCGATCCTACAATCAACGACGCTCCCGCTCGATCCTTCTTCTGAATTTTCTCAAGACTCCCAGGAGGGCCTGGCGCTTCCCTGGTCCCTGTTGAACCTTACTTATTAAACAACTGTTATTGTTGGATACCCTGAATGCGATGTCGCGCCTGCTCCGCGCGACCTCGATCTCGCTCGTGTCCCAGGGCGTGGCGTCGTCGCCGTCGCCGCCGCCGCCGCCGTCGTCGTCGTCGTCGTGATCTCCAGGAACCCCTGGAGACACCTGAGGCCAATAACATATTTTTGAGGATGAATGCAAGGGGGAGGAGGAGGACGACGACGATGACGACGACGGCGACAACGACGAGCCCCGGCGCAATCAGAAAGCGGCCGACGCAAAAACTATCACTGGGGAAGGGTCGAAAACCTGAGGGCCCAAGCTCTGGAGCTTCTCTGAGAGGCTTTGGGGGCTCTCCACGGGGCTCTCTCCTTTAGGTCTTAGGCCGCGCAGGCGTCGTGATACCTAGAGACGAAACCTGGGCAGGGTGATTGCAAAGGCGATGTGCCATCCGGGCTGGCGATGTTGAGGTGCCTCGGAAAAAGGTGTTGTCAAGACCTCCTCGGGCGGGATATCATGGGGAGGGAGTATCGGAGCCCCGTGTGCAATAACAAATCCGCCAGAAGGAAGGGGGGCTACGGTATCATGATGGATACATATTGCAAAACAAAGCATAGAGCTTTCGGGTAACATGCTTGTTGATATGATTGTTGCTGTTGTTGTTGATTTCGCAACTGCTAAACAACAATTATTGCCGATCCCCTCCCTCCGGGGCAGAATGTGTTTTTTCAACTGAAATGCTGTTGTCGGGGCCCGCACCTAATTTTTTATCAAAGAAAACCTTGGGTCTCAGAATTGGGTTGATGGCCCCCGGTTTACGACAACAGCGGCTCCCGCCTGATACTTCCTCACAGTTTATTCCCGCATCACGCTCTCGCGCGGGATTTCCTCATAATCTATGCACGAATCGCGCTCTCGCTTGGGAGCTCCTCGCAATCAAGTCTCGTCGCTTCGGAATTATGCTCTCGCTATGAAATTCCTCACGGTTTCTTTGGGAAGCGCGCTATCGCTCGAGACTTCGTCGCGATGCATGCAAGACGCACGCTTCAGCAACCCGCCTGCTCGACCTGGCCGCCTGTGCCCGCCATCCCGACCCGCCTGTTAGGGTCTATACGCTTGATCTGCCTGTTTGGTTCTGCCACGTGTTATCTGCTCCCAGCCCCCCTCCTGCTACTCTCTCGCGCGCGGACAAAGAAGGCGGGCATCGAGGGTTTAGGATATACGTTTTGAAATACGTGTTGAATGGCATGCGAGAGTTCTCATTTCTTAAAAAGGGATGGTTGTTTATCTCCCCCGCGGTAACCATTATATTTTTCAATTCAACTGCTGCTCCCGGGGCTCGCACCCTGTTTTGTACAAGGGAAAACTGCGTGTCACCAAACCGGTTCTCTGGCCCCCGAGTTACAACAACAACGGTTGCTGCCTGAAATTTCCTCACAATGTATTCCCACATCGCGCTCTCGCGCGGGAGTACCTGACACCTTATGTAAGACTTGCGATCTCGCGTAAGACTCCCTCGCGATTTATTCAGACGCCGCGCCCTCGACGTTCAGGGATCACGCTCTAGCTATTGTTTTTCTGAAGACTTTCTTTCGGGAGCGCGCTGTCGCTCGACATTTCCTCGCGATGCATCGAAGACGCACGCTTCAGCAACCCGCTTGCTTGACCTGGCCGCCTGTGCCCGCCTTCCCGACCCGCCTGTTAGCTTCTACCCGCCCGATCTGCCCGTCTGGTTCTGCCACGTGTTTTCTGTTCCCAGCCTCCCTCCTGCTACTGTCTCTCGTGCTCCATCCTCCTCCCACCCCCATGTCCCTTCCTTCCATCCGTCCTCTCTTGCCCTGCCTCAGGGGCTACACGAAAAGCACGTGGCATGTAAGAAAGAGAGATATCTACGTGTATATATATATATATACACACACACCCCCAAGGGGGCACGATCGAAGACGAAGTATCGAGGGTTTGAGATATAGGTTTTGAATGGGGCACGCGAGCAGATAACAGCGAGCAATGTTAACACTATTGTTGTTGTAGTTCGGGCCAGCGACCCGAGAAACAAAGTGCGAGCCCCAGGAGGAACACTTCAATAAAAAATTGACATTTAGAATAAGAATCCGCACCGCAGAACCCCACTTCAGCCACGCACCCAAGGACAGTGAATGACCGTTCGGCCCCCTCACTCTGATGAGCACGAGTGTGTATGTATACATATGCCGGCGACCAGCTAAGCTAAGCCGATGGCGCGACGGCCACAGCTCTCTGACACATTGCCAAACATATGAATGCACAAAGCGACTGGCACCCCTCGTGTTGACTGAGGCTCCCAGACGGCTTCGCCGCTCTGCAGAGATCCTGATCGGCAACGGCCTGCAATGTGCACGCCGCAACACTTTTGACGGCCCCTCCGTCGGGCCTCGGCCTTGCTGTGGGACCACTTTTCCGCGCTGTCCGACTCCATGTCCAGCTGCATCCTCGGCGTCCATGGCCGCATCCGTGGCCTCCTCCTCCTCCTCCTCCATCATCATCATCATTACCAACATCATCACCATCATCATCCTCACCCTCATCCTCATAACCATCGCCATCACCGTCACAATCATCATCGTCATCATCATCAAAATCGTCGACTTCATGATCAACATCATCGGCATCGTCAACGTCATCATCATCACCATCCTCATCATCACCACCATCAGCATCACTACCGCAACCACCATCACAATCACCATTATTATCATCATCGTCAGCATCATCATCATCCTCACCATCCTCATCCTAATGCTCATCATCATCCACATCCTCATCTTCAGCACCATCACCATCACCATCAGCATCAGCATCGTCAGCGTCAGCATCAGCATCATTGTCACCCTCATCATCCTCATCAGCACCATAACCATCAGCATCATCATCGTCATCATCAACACCATAATCATCATTGTCATCCTCATCACCCTCATCCTCATCACCATCCGCATGCCCATCCTCGTCCTCATCGCCATCGCCCTTCCCATCATCATCGTGGTCATCATCACCATTATCATCACGACCATCATGATTACAATTATGATCACCATCGTCGTCATCATCATCAGCATCAGCACCATCGCCGTCATCATCAGCATCATCAGTGTCCCCATCCTCATCCTCATAACTATCCGCATCCACATCCTCATCCTTACCACCATCACCACCATCATCATCGTCATCATCATCATCATCATAATCATCACCATCACCGTCATCATAATCACCACCACCATCATAGCCATCACCACCTTCACCATCATCATCAGCATCATCATGGTCGCCATCCTCATCAGCATCATCCCCATCCTCTTCCTTATCACCATCAGCATCATCAGGATCCTCATCCCAATCACCATCCTCATTCCCGTCCTCATCACCATCCTCGTCCTCATCCTGATCACCATCGCCATCACCAACCTTATCACCATAATCATCATCAACATCATCACCATCCTCATCCCAATCCTCATCACCGTCACCATCGCCATTACCATCATCATAATCATCGTCATCACCACCATCATCATGTCACCCACCGTCATTACCATAATCATAATCATGATCATCACCACCACCATCATCATCAGTATCATCATCATTGTCTTCATCATCATCAACAGCATCATCGTAGCCATGATCATAATCATCATTCTCATCGTCATCCTCATCCTCATCACCATGCTCCTACTCATCCTCATCACCATCGCCATAACCGTCATCACCACCATCATCATGAGATTCATCATATTCCGCATCAGCATCATCATCCTCATCACCCTCAGCGTTGCCTTCACCGTCACAATCATCATCGTCGTCATCATCACCATCACCATCATCATCACCATCGCCAACATGATCAGCATCACCACCATCACCATCATATCACCATCATCATTGTCGTCGTCATCACCATTAGCGCCATCAGCATCATCACCGTCTGCATCAACATCATGAGCATTCTCGCCTTCATCTTGATCGCCGTTCTCATCCTTACTCCCATAACGATCACCATCAACATCAACATCATCATCATTGTTATCATCATCATCATCACCGGCACCATAATTAACATCACCACCATCACAATTACAATCATCATCATCATCATCATCATCATCACCATCATCCTCATCACCGCCGTTATCACCATCATCGCCATCGTGAGCATCATCAGACTCAGCATCAATATCAGCATCACCCTCGTCATCATCATCGTTAGCATCATCATCCTCATCCTCCTCACCATCACCATCCTCGTCCTCATCCTTATCCTCGTCACCATTACCATCACCACCATCATCGTCATCATCGCAATCATCATCACAATCATCACCACCACCACCATCGCCATCACCATCACATCCTCCTCAACATCACAATCATTATCATCACACCCACCAACATCATCATCACCGCCACCACCATCATCATCAGCAGCACCAACATCATCGTCATCAGTCTGCTCATCAACATCGTCCTCATGCTCATCATCATCATCAGCATCAGAACCGTCATGATCCTCATCCTCATCTTCATCCACAGCCTCATCCCGAGCCCAATCCTCATCATCATCACCATCGCCATCCTCCTCCTCATCACCGGCATTATTATCAACATCGTCATCAACAACATCATCCCCTCCGCATCGCCATCCCCATTCATCCTCATCGTTACCATCACTCGTGCGATCACCATCGTCATCACCGTTATCATCAACATCACCATCAACATCATCATCACCATCCGCGTCCTCATCTTGATCCCCATCATCAACAGCAACACAATCATCATAACCAACAACGTCACTATCAACATTCACATCACCAAGAGCATCCTCATCGTCATACCCATCACCGTTCTCATCCTCGTCGTCATCTCCATAAACATCATCGTCACTATTATCAGCATCGCCATCATCACCGACATGGCCACCACCATCCGCATCACCATCCTCATCAGCAACACCTCATCGTCATCCCCTCACCCATCGATATCATCATCATCCGCATCCCGATCATCACCACAATCACCATCATCGCCACAACCAGGATCAGCACCACAATCACCATCACCATCACCATCACCATCACCATCATCATCATCATCATCTTCATCATCATCATCACCATCATCATCGGCATCATCCTTGTTATATTCAGCGTCAACATCATCTTGGTCCTCATCATCATCATCCTCAATATTGCCACCGCCATCCTCATCACCACTATCACTATCATCAATATGAGTATCATCATCCGCGTCCTCATTCTCATCCTGATCACCACCCTCATCCTCGTCCTCATCACCATCGCCATCATCAACACCTCCAACATCACCACCACCATCATCATCACCACCACCATCATCGTCATCATCGTCATCATCATTTACATCACCAGTATTATTGTAATCGTCATCATCCGCATCCTCATCACCGTCATCATAATCACCTCCATCCTCGTCCCCATTACTAAATCACCAATCCATCAATCAATCGATCAAAAGCTCCATGGGATGCGGCCGATGCACAGGGAACAAAATAACCAGGGACTCGGAGCATCGCAATCGCGAGCGGATAATGTAAGCTCTCGAGGCCTTGCCGCTCGGGTCCAGGCCAGCGCTGCCTCCATAAAGGGTGGCTAACCCCGTCGGCGCGCAGCCAGGTGGGTGCGCCGCTGCGGAGGACCGCCCCCGTCCGTCAAGCCCTGGTCGCCTCGCAGGCGGCCCCTCGCAAGGTTGGGCAGCGGGCCCCGACGGCTTCCGCTGCCCAGCCCCCGCGAAGCCCCCCCCCGCGAGGTGCCCAACGCTCATTCTACCCCTGGCTGGCTGCTCTTTCCCTTCCCCGCCCCACCCCGACCGCGGCTACGACCCCCCCCGTCCCTTTCCCTTTAGTCTGCGAATTAGGATCTGGGGGAGTAGATGGGAGATGTGGGTCTGAAACTCAATGTTTCCCTCGTGCACACTGGCAGGGGTTGCGCTCCTTTCGATCAGTTCTCTCAGCCTCTCGCTCCCTTGGGGGCCTCCTCTCGCTTCGCCTTTCCCGCGGCCGCCGCCGAGGCCGCGCGGGCTCCAGCGGGCCCTCCAGGACAGCCACACGAGTACGAGCCCTGCCGCAGCAAGTATGGGTGCACTGCGTGCGGGGACTCGGCACATCCACGGCGGGGCGCGGCCGCCCGCACTCCGAGCTCACCCGCTCGCCCAGGCGGCATAGCCGACCGATGCACCCGTCGGAGCGCTTCTTGGCGGCGCGCAGAGGGGGACGACGACGACGACGACGACGACGACGACGACGACGCACCTGGGCTCTTCTCGTTCGAGAGGCCCTCTCGGCGCCGCGCCCGTGAACTCTTTGTGCGCCTGCTTGTCTTTCGCGACGTCCGGCCGACAACCGCTCCCTCGCCCTGCCTGCTGAACGCCATCGCCAGCACTCCGTGCTTGCTGTCCTTCCCTTCCGAGGCCTTGCTCTTGCGGTGGCGAAACTGGGGTCCGTCTTCAGCAGCGCCTGCTCCTCCCAGTACTTCGCGGGGATCTTGTGCGCAGTCTCGTTCGGCATCTCGTCGCGGACGTCTGGCGGGGGGTCCGGTGCACCGCCTTGGTGAAGAGTCTGGTGTGAGGGCTGCCCCGCGCCATGAAGTCCACCTCCTCGCCCTTGCCCTACTTGGCTTTCATCTTCTTGCCCTCTGCGTCGCACTCCTGCCCGCCCGCCGCCAACTCCGCGCCCAGCATGCCCTCTGCCTCGCCGACGGCGACGTGGTCGTTGAGGCGCGCGTCGAGCGCCGCCGTCTGCCTCGCCGTGGCCATGGGGAACTTCGCCGTCGCCTTGCAGAAATCCACGGTGCCGCTGTGGCCCTCGCTCCCGCCGCCGCCCTTGCCCCCCCGCTGCTTCTGCTTCTTGTGCTTGGGCGGCGGCGCCTCCGATCCAGGGGCTTCCGACGTGTCCGCGCCACTCTTCATCCAGTTGGGCAGCTCGAGGTTCTCGACTCATGCCATCGCTCGCTTGTCCAGGTCGCTCCGTGGCGATGCTCCAGGGGGGGTGGCTTGAGCCGAGGTGTCTCCTGACGTCGCCCCAGTCGGCCCTCGAGCCCGCGCAATTCGCCGGCGAAAGAGCTCGGGGCAAGGAGTGAGCGAATGACCCGACTCTCGGATCTCCCACGCCGCCCCATCTGGAGTTTCCTCTCAAGATGTTTAGCAGCCGAGACCTGCCCGGCAAAGACCCTTGAACATGCGACGCATTGGATATCTTTTGTCAAGAGATGGCCTAGGCTGTGAAAGTCGCGTGCGCTGCGCTTGCGGTGAAGCAGCTGTCTCCGAATGGCATGACGGGCCCTGCGCCCGCTGTCGTCCTCGAGCTGGGCCCCGCGCGCGTAGATGCACCAGAGCGACCCCCCCTTCTCCGACTCGGGCTGCGGTTCTGCTGCAGGCCCCTCGAGTCCAGGTGGAA